TCCTCTCTGCTCCCAGCAGGGGTCCAGCCCTCTTCCTTGCTGCCTGTGGCCCCACCTTAAACTAACCTGTCACCAGTGAACAGGGCTGTATTCCAGGACCTGAAGATTCTGTCCTCGGCCCTATGAGGAGCCACACGATTCTTGTGGCACTTGGTTCCAGAATACAGGGGAGATGGAGAACTTCCCCACTAAATGCAGAGTCAGTCGAACAGGACAGCACAGGCTGCCTGGACCTGGACGTGGTGGCAAACGTCCTGCTACTCTGGCGAGCAGCGTGCAGACTCCACCACAAGGCCGAGCACAGCCCTCTGCGGCCAGGGACAACGGCAGTACACAACAGCTCTGTGGCCCGGTACCACGAGCAGGGCCCACGCAGATGGTTCCTGGAGGAGAAGCTGCACACCAGGGCTGGGGAACAGCAGGGAGGGAAGGGACACGGATGTCTGCACAAGGTGCCATCCACCCTGATCTGAAGTGCTACAGTGCAGTGAGACCTGAAATGGAACCATGTCATGGCAGGAAGAGAGCAGCAATGCTGGGGTTCCTTGCAGAAGCCAGATGGCCGCAGTAGCCCCAAGAATCCTCCAGAAACCTCAGAAAATCACCTTGGTGCCACTAACAAGCAGGTCAAGGGCTTCTTCCTGGAACCACCACCAATTAGAAAACAAAGTGAAACAAAGTTTCTACCGGTATAACAAAATCAAGAAACTGAACACAGCAACCTTACCAGGTCCCAAAGTATCCCAGGGTATAAGCCTTCTGTAGAGGGGCACCCACCCCCTAGAAATCCTGTCTGTGCCTCAGTGGCAGTGCAGAGGCAGCTGTGAACAAGATTGACCCTTGCACAAGCAGGACACAAGCAGAGCAGGATGACCTCCCAGGAGACAGGGCCAGACTCCCTGCAGGGCCCTCCTGGCTGAGCGACAACAGTGAGGACCCTTCCAGGCAGAGGAGCCCAGGGTGGAGGCTGCCCAACAAGACTGGGGGACCCAGGCAGGCAGGTGTGGCTGCAGGAAGGATCTGGAAGATCTGGAAGCCAGGGCCATGAGGTGACAGGCCCCAAAGCTGGAGGGGCACAGGAGCAGGGCCTCCAGAGCCGCAGGGGGCCAGTCAAAGCAGCCCAGGGTACCCAGATATCGACTGAGGCTGAGGGACCAGGGGTGGCTTTGATTCCACATCCTCTGTGTCCATCCACCTCTTCAGAGGGATCAGCTCCACCCCACCACTCTGAGACCTTCTGGGAAGGACAAAGTCAACACTGCCTCTGGACAGCCTGATATGTCCCAGCGCAGGTGCCAGGACTGCAGGTAAAGCACTTCCCCTATCTGGGCCTCAGCTGTGCCACCTGAAGAGCAAGGGGTAGTGAGGAGAAGAGCTCTGGACAGGAGGCTCAGACTCCTGAATGGAACATACCTCAGCCCCCATTCCTGTCCCTCTAGGATGGGATGACCAGGCCCAAACACGTGGGCCCCCAAGACTAGGACAAGAGTAGAGGTCCAAACTGACACCATCACTTTGGACAGTGGACATCACTTCTGGACGATGTGGACAGTGCTGGGCGGACCACGTCCCAGTTGCCTATACACCTGCTAACACTCCCACCCAGATTCTGTGCCCTGGGGCCCTAAACTGTGTTGTAAAGCTCCCACCTAGCCCACTAGGGCTCATGGAGTCCACTGAGCTGAACCCCAGGACCTGGCCCAGGGTGGGAACCCCGGCTGCACCTGAGAGCTTGCACCCCTACTTGGGCTAACACTGTTCGGGGGTCCAGTCTGCTGCTGGAACGGGCTCAGCTCCTTTACTTGTCCTGGAGCCCTGGAAGCCTGCACAGTGGCTGTGAGTGTTTCCTTTCCATCTCTAGCCCTCTCTGACAGTCCACAATCAGAGAAAGAACCATCCACACAGATGGCAAATGGCAAACCTGTGTCTGGTTACACTTCTACTATAAAAGGAATGCCCTCCCTTCTGTGTAGACAGCATACCTGTATCTGGCTATGTCTCCGCTGTGAGGAAGGACCCCCCATCTGTGTAGATGGCACACGTGGGTCTGGCTATGTCTCCAGAGCTCCAGAAAGACCTTATACCTGTAGGAGGCTGAACTGGGTCTGAAACTCTGCAGCACCCACCTTTCCACAAAGCTGGACTTTTTAAGTATGTAAAGCAGTTTGCTCTTTGAAATAGGCAAATTAGCGTCAAAACAAAAATCCTACAGATGCCAAAACAGATGGTCTCCACCTGCACCCAGAGGCAGAAGTGCCCAAGCATGGCCAGCCCGAGCTGTACAGCCCAGAGCACTCTGGCCATAGTCCTCCTGAGGCCGAAGGTGCAGAGGCACCCCTCTCCACGGAAGGTGCACATGTCTGCTAGGGAAGCAGGCCTGGCCATCGCCTGGGAGATACAGGGACCAGCACAGCCTGTTCCGTGGCCTGGGGGCAGTTGCTTGTGTCAGACACAGAGCTGGACCCTGCTTGTGGCCCACATACCCCCAAGGCAGAGAGGGCAGCCTACTCCTGCTCCTGACCACGGGACTGGCCTTGGGGGATCTCCAGTCACTGCTGGTCAGTATGACCAGACAGAACACTCACAGGGAACATGAGCAATGCAGAGCCACTGCTTCTTTGGATCCCCCGCCCCGCTAGAGAAACAAAGTCTAAGGAGACCATGTTGAGTTCTGCAGAGCCTCTGCCCACTCATCCTTTCTGCACCCTTCAGCTCTGCCATAGACCTCTGTGGACGTCCACTCTGCCCCCTTCAGGTGACAACCACCACAGAGATGTTTGGGGAGCAGCTACTGCTCCCCTCAGGCATAAAAGAGGCAGGGACCACTTCCCTCCAGGGGCAAACACGTGTGCAGAGGGGTGGAAGATCTACTGGGCACAGAGGGCTGGAGCAAGGCTTGCACCCACATTCGAAGGGCCATACTCTAAGTAGGGGACCCTCTTCTGCTTAAGAGATACACTTCACAAGTCTACACCTGCCACATCTGCCACTGGTGCTACACGGGGTGCTCTAACATGCGTACTGTCACCAACAGGGTCGCATCCCCTGGAGATCTGAAGGTGGGACCAGCCTCCAGGCCTGGGGTGCACTGACTGTGACCTAGCAGGTGGCAGGAGGCAGGGCAGGCTCTGCCTCTGTGCTGGGGTCCTGTGGGCCCTGAACCTGGAGCCAGCATCTCCCTCCCTGTGAGGGACCCACAGGGTCCTGCACAGCAGTGATCACACTGGAGACTGCAGGCTGGTGGCTGGCTCCCTGGCTGTGTGCCTCACACGTGGTGCACCGTGCTTCAGTGTTCCCATCTACAGAGTGGAGGGCACTGGCCTCCCTCTAGGTTACCTGAGTGAAGAAGCCATGTCTGTAAAGACAGGTTGGCAGGCTGAACATTCAGAGCCACTGGCCACCACCAATGTCATCATGAATTATCCGAACCCCAGAGAAAATACACTGCACTTCAAGAAGAAAAATGACCAATAAAGACCCTTCTGGAGGGATCTAGAGTCACGAGCCACTGAGAAGTCTTGTACTTTGCTAGGCAGGCTCAGAAGGGTGAAGGGCAGAGAGGTGAGTAAGGATGCCCTCAAGGGCTGAGGAGAGTCAGGTGAGCCTCATAGTGAGGACTGGTCCAAACTCAGGCAGTGACCGTGGTCCCTCCCTCCTTCCCTCTGTACAGGATAATCTCCATGTGAGCTCTGCCCGGGGCACTGGGAGCCTGAAAGGGACATGGGTGACAGGCACAGTGCCTGCTCTCCAGGCCACCAGCTGACAGGCTCCTGGAGGAAGCTGAGAGGAACCAGCCACAAGGCAGTCACAGGCAAAGATGACAGGCAGCAGAGCAGGTAAACCGGAGGGCGGGGGAGAAGGGGTGGCCCTTCAGCCAAGTCCACAGTGATGACAGACGCAGACCGTGTGAGGCAGAGAGGACAGAGTGAAGGTGCCAGCCACAGCTGAGTGTCAGTTCCCCTGGGACAGGCCAGTGAACAGACCTGGAGTCTGGGACAGAACCTGACGGCCTCACCTGAGTGGTGCAGGGGCTGGCAGAGTGCTGCTCGGAATAAGTGCTTAGGAAACTCAAGCTGCCACTGTCGTGAGACAGAAAACCCTACGTTGTCCTCCTCAGCAGAGACCCAGCATGTACCAGCACCGGAGAGGGGGTCACTGCAGTCCACCAAAGGTCTTTTCTGGAGCCTCCTGGGCCCAGGACCCATTTCAGGCTCCCCAGTGTGCAGAGTAACAACTGCTGGGCAGTGTAGGGGCACAGGCTGAGGCCCTGTCCTGAGCCTCTGTACAACTATTACCCAGACAGAATGAAGCAAACCTGTCACCACACACCCAGGCCCATCCCTCACACCAGTGCCTGACCCAGAGTCTGCCAGCAGACCCCAGGTTGGGATGTCCCCTTCAGGGACCTGCAGGGACCACTTTCCTTTTTCCAAAGCTTAGCCTGAGATGGAGGGCGCAGGCTGAGCGCTGTCTGCGACCCACAGTCCAGCAGCGGACCCTCCCAGAGGAAGTGCTGCACGGGGCTCACCTAGTTGGAGGGCTCTGCGTTCCTGGGATCTATGCTCCCCCGCCCCCAGCACGTGGTCAGCGTTTCCACCCAGGAGGGTTTGAAAGGGACAGGGATACCCCACCCATCTGTCGTTTCCTTCTCTACTCACCTGGGTCCAGGCGAGAAGAGCAGTATTTGCTGTGTAAACACTGTCCGGGATAGCTCGCCGAGACAGTATTTTTGGCCAACTTACTACCCCTGGGGCGAGCACCTTCACCAAGAGGAGTCACTCAGGGCTGTTTCCTCTCTGCTCTAAGCAAAACCCTGAAGCAGGGGGGGCGACTGGGAAGAACTCAAGTGTCCACGCTGTCTCAACCTCCCCAAGTCCAGCACCCCCCTCCCCCCTCCCCCTCCCCGGGCCTGGGAGTTGTACGCGGACCCTCCCTCCGGGTTCCCACGCAGCAGGGTCCGAGTGTGGGCTGTGGGGTGCGGGTCTCCGGCGCTCACCCACCTCCAGCGCCTCCAGCGTGCTGAAGCTGGCGATGGCGAAACCGTCGATGACCTCCTCCTCCTGAGAGCTGGATTCGCGGCGGCGGCGGCGCGGGGGGCGCGGAGGCGGCGCGCCGCGCAGGCCGGCGTTCTCCTTGCCCGGGCTGGGCTCGGGCTCGTCGCCCGACGACGGGCTCTGCGCTCGGGCGTCGCGGGCGGCCTCCCGGCGCCGGCCGCGATCCCGCTGGGCGCGCGAGCGCCGGCTCGGCCGGACCTTGGCCTCCATGGCGGCGCCTTGCGCGGTGACCTTGGGGCCGCAGCCTGCTATGCCGTGCCGCCGGGCTGCGAGGGCGCCGCGCGGGCTCGGGGCCGGGCCGGGCCGGGCATGACGGGCGCGGGCGCTCAGCGCCGGGGCCGCGCGGCCTGGGACCCCCAGCCCGGGCCCCGCGTATGGGCGGGGCGTCTGGCGCTCAGCGGCCCACGGTTGGGCCCCCGGGGATGCGCCTCATGGCGAACGGCGGTGGGTGGCGGCAGGTGCGGGCGGCCAGGCTCGGGGTGCCGGGCTCGTGAGGCAGCGGGGCGGTAGCGCGGCCCGAGCGGATAACAACTGACGCACTTCCGCCCGGCCCGAGCGCTAGAGGAAGTGGGCGCTGTCGCGGGAGCCCGCCACGCCCCGCCCCCGCCCCAAAGGCCCCGCCCCCGAACCTCCTGAGCTCTGCCTCCTCCGGGCCGGCTCCTCTCCGTCCCGCCCCACGAGTCCCCGCCCCCTTCCACCAGGCCCCGCCCCTACGGCTGACCTCCTCCGAGCCACGTCTCGTACCACCTGAGTCCCCTCCCACTCAGCCCCGCCCCACAGGGCTGACAGTCCTAGGACGCCCGGTCTGTCCTCCTGGGCCCACCTCACCTGCGGTGCTCTCCGAGTACCCACGCCCTCCAAGGCCCCGCCCAGCCACACACGCCCACAAGGCACGCCCCATCTGGCCTCCCTTCCGCCCTTCGCGTGGGCGGTGCTCGGCCCTGCACCCGCCCCGCCCGCCGCTTCCAGGGCTGGGGTGAGCACGTGCGCGGGGCCTGCCGGGCAGAGCCCTCAGCGCTGATGTGCGGCCGCGGCTAGCGGGGATCCCAACCCCCAACCCGCTCGAGCGTGGACCCCGCGTCCACGCGGAGTGACCTCCAGCGAGGGCCTGAAGCTAGAGCCACGGGTGGACTGCCTCATCCTCATAGAGGCAGGCCCCGAGGAGATTCCCGGGCCTGGCGCCTGGGCCCTTGCGTGGGGTGCACCCTGCAGTCGTGTTCAGCCGCTGGCGGCGCAGTGCAAACGAGACAGCCCCTCCTCCAGACCCTGAGCACAGGCCCAGATGAAACACGCAAGGGTGATGTGCAGAGCATGGAACCCGGAGTCACAGAGATGGCGTCGGAGGCCTGAGTGCCCCTGGGACCTGAGGAGCGGCCCATCCTGCTCAGGCCGCCCCTGGGGCCGCTGTGGGCTGTCCCTGGGGAAGTCAGGCACTTCCGGTCACTCCAGCTCCCCAGCGTAGGGCCCCAGTCCCTTCCCCTCTCCCCACTCTGGGTTGTTTGGGAGGCGCCTCTTCACCCCTGCAGCCTCCCATTGGCTAAGAGCGGTGAGGCGGAAAGCTGCCCCTCCTTGACAGAGCCAGTCTGCAGCGGGCCCCCCACTGGGTGCTGCCTTTCTGGGTTCCCTCTGGCCCTGGGGAGGTGGGTGGGGGCTCCGGGGTGATGAGAGGAGGGCGCTGTTGCAGTGCAGGGTGTTTCCCGAGGTGTTGGGCGGGGCCTCTCAGGGAAGCTCTGGGGCGAGGGTCAGCACCCCTTGCGGTGCGGGGTTGCCTCTGTGTCCTCTCAAGGGTCAGAGGTCGGATGGGGATCCAGCTCCTGCCAGGCAGGCTCTGATCCACACACTCGGGGCTGGTCTGGGGCCCTGCCTCAGTGTCCCGTGTGCCTGCAGATTCATCAGTGACGCGTTGTCTCTGACCGCCCTGGGGATCCAGGTAAGTGGAGTGCATCCTCCTCCTGGGAGGACCTTTGTGCTCAAGGAGGTTTGGGTGTCCCTGGGCTTGAGGCCACCTTCCTCTGGGCAGAGCTCCCTTGTGCAGTAGGCGACCTGCACAGCTGTCGGTGGTCAGCCTTCCCGCACTGCCCCCAGCCCCCAGGTGTGCAGCAGTGCAGGTGAGTGTCTTCTGATGCATGCAGGTGTGGACCTGGGTGAGGATGCTGGATGGGCCCTGAGCAGAGGGTTGTGGGCCAGCTGCTCTCCCCAGGGCTGCACCCCGCCCTGCCTGGGGCTCCATACACCCAGCCCTGACAGTGCTTGGTGCAGTCTGGCTTCTTGTTTGCCAGGCAAGTGAGAGCGGCCTGGTAGCTAGGTCGTTATAATGTTCGTTTTCAATTCCCAGTGATTTGCACCATCTCTTCATTGGCTTTCGAGCTTTGAGGACAAAAAACGTTCTTTTTCTTCCTTTTATCCTTTTGCTTTTTTGAGACAGGATCTTGCTATGTGGTTTAGGCCTTCCTTGATCTCACTGTGTAACCCAGGCTAGCCTTGAACTCACAGAGATCCGTCTGCCTCAGCCTCCCAAGTGCTGGTATTACAGGTGTGCACCTCCACGCCTGGCTGAGAACATTGTCTTTAGAGCAAAGCGGAGATTGTGGCACCTGTGTAAAGATGCCAGTGGTGCCAGCTTGGCCCCCAGAGCCTCTCTGCTGCCATTCACCACACGGCCCACTGCTGCTCCATGCATCCTGCCTTCAGAGGTCAACAGTGTCCACGCCTTCCCTCCTGGGTGGTCAGGGCAGGAACCTGTGGGCCGGGGCCCCACATGTGTTCTCTCTGCTGCCTGCCCGTTGTCTCTGCTCCGTGAGCCTCTCGGCAAACATCAAATTGGGCGTAGTGTTGCACTGTAACCTCAGCTCCTTGGAGGCTGAGGTGGGAGAGTTGAGAGTTAGAGCCCAGCCTGAACAACAGGAGATCCTGTCTCAGAAAACAGGAAAAAGAAAACAGGTTAAACTGCAGTGGCTCTGCCTGTCCCCTAGAGGCTGAGGTCCCAGATGCTGCTGCCCAGTCTACGCTCTGCCTCGCTCGCTCGGCCCTCTCTCCATGGGAGGCACCTGGTCACCTTGGTGATTGCTCGAGGTTGCTCTACTGCTCTCTGCTTTCTAGAGCCAGCTGCCACCCTGCCCAGTGTGGCAGAGCAGACGCCAGGCAAAGCCAAGCTCCCTCTGCACCCGCAGTGGTGGCCATGTCTCCTTCAGCTGGAGGGGAAGCTGCCTAGTCAGAGAGCCCCCAACAAGCTGTGCATGGTGGCGCACACCTGTGATCCCAACACTCTGGGAGGCTGAGGCAGGAGGGTTGCAAGGTGGAGCCAGCCTGTGGAACTTAGCGATGTAACAAGACGTTGTCTCAAAATTAAAAAGCTCACACCAGAACACCAAAACAGACACCCCAGTCATGTGTTCCATCAGGGTTCTGTGGTCAGAAGTCTGCAACCAAGTTGTCATCTGGGCTCCTTCCTGCCTCTCCCAGCTCCTGGGGTGTTTGAAGTCCTGGGCTGTGGCTGCATCACACTAGCCTCAGCTGGAGTCCTTGCTGCTGCCCCTCCGTGTCTCTCTTCTTAGAAGGACACTTGTCACCCACCCCTGGATTCAGGGCCATGACAGTGAGCTCCTTCTAACTGATCACATTGCAAGATAGTTTCCGTTGCATTCCAGGGCTGGGATCAGGCCTCCAAGGTCTGTTTGGACACAGTTCAGCCCATAACGATGCCTGTAGATTGGCTCCCAGGGGCTGGGGATGTGGGCCTAGGTCGGTGGCCAGGCCTGGAGGGCCACAGTGTGGCAGGGCCATCAGGCTTTTAGGGCCAAGGTGGAGACCACTGTGTGGGCCGGGGTCTCCTGGGCAGGGAGCCCTGCAGCTGCTTCCCCAGCCAGGAGTTCACAGGACGCCGCTTCTGCAGCTTCTGCTGGGTCACTGGGGCTCCCTGTCCAGAGTGGGACCGCACAGCCTGGAAGGTCAGGAGGCACCGTGCGGCCGGCTATCACAGGGCCGTTGCCTCTGCCCCTCTCCCAGCTGCCCCAAGCCTTCTAGTCCACGTCGGCCCCAGTCCTGCAGGGGGCAGATGGCACCTCAGCAGGGCAACACAAGGGGTGTCTAACTAACGAGGGGTTGCACAGGGAGGGCTGGTGTGGGGAGCTGAAGGCCAGGCAAACGTCCCTGGGATGATCCAGCTGAGGAGCTGCAGGAGCCTCTGCAGATGCCACCGAGGTCGCCTGTGTCCCCAGGATGCTCCCTGTGATTCCTGTGTCCTTTCTCAGGGCACACGCTCTGAGAGAGCTGGACTTCTCCACTCTGCCACCTGCCCTGGCACCTGGTAACGGCCTGGCCCAGGCTCAGTGCAGTGCTGGCCTCTGCTGGCCCCACAGTGGCCCCTGGCTTGCTGAGAGCTGGCGGAGCCTGGGACCCTGCCACAGGCCGCCCCCTCCCCTCCTGTGTCCCCTCTCCCCTCCTCAGCCTTGAAGGCTGGCCAGGCTTGCACTCTGCTGCCCAGGAGATGTTCACAGCACCATAGCCAGTGCCCACCATACCAGTCCTTGGCCATGCCCTGAGCGCTAGGCTGTGGCACACACGTGCACATGGACACACCTGTGAAGATGTGTAGACGGACGTGCACACAGCAGACAACCCCACAGGTCTAGGTCTGCGTGTGTGCCCATGTCTCTCAGCTCCAGGTGTCGCTGCTCCTGGTGCAGTTTTAGCTTTTAGCAGCTCCACGAAGCCAAGGCTCCAGGCCCCACCGGCAGCTCTGGTGTCTCTCCAGCCTCTGCCGCCGCCTCCCGGGAGCCTCTGCTAACCTCAGCCTGGCCATGACCTGGCCTGGACTCGGCTCAGCCTCCGACCATGGGTGCTGCAGGTCTTCAGCTCCACTGCCACTGTGATGCCAGTCTCTGCATGTGTCAGGGCTGACAACCCGAGTGCTTCAAGCCAAGACGGGAATCATGAGCAGGGAGATCAGGCCTGGGTCAGGGCGTCGCTGCAGCAGGGCAGTAGGCTGCCCTCGAGCCAAGAGCTGCTTCCACTGAAGGGAGCGGACCCTGGAGAACTTTGGAATGTTGTCCATAGGGTGGGGTCATCTGGAAGTCACAGTGCAGATCCTCCAGAGTGGCTGCAGGACGGACCATCTGGGATCAGTCTGAGTTTCAGGGCTGCTGCAGCCAGGCCCGGTCTCCTGGAGTGGTGGCGGGGTGTCTGAGGCATGGGGCATGGAGGGATTTCACAGACTGTTCCTACCACTGTGGAGGTGGCTGTGTGACTTTGGTGGCATCTCTGGGAGGAACCGCAGCCCTGCTCATGGCCTGCGGGGGTTCAGGAATTAACCGCATGTTGCCCGTGGGCCCCTCCTTCCCCAGTCTTTGCCCTTGAATGAGATTTTCTGGCTGTTTGTCAGGCAGCAGAGCCAGGGCAGGAGATGGGTGTCATAGCCTCTGCTGGGGCCACACCCTGGTGGCCATCGGAGAGAGAGTAGGGCTGGTCTCCTTTGGTACAGTGTTGCCTGTACCTCAGAACTGTGTCCCAGAGGCATAGGGAGAGCACCTGAGGCCATCCAGAGGGGAGGTGCAGCTGAGGTGCTGTTACCGGGAGAAAAGGGCCGAGAGGGGCCAGCAGGGTGCTGCAGCCCGGGCATTTGCACCAGGGCCATCCCTGCCTGCATCCGGGGCCCCGGCTCTCCTCACCGAGGTGACATGTGAACCCCAGCAAGGGCCCTGCTCTGGGCAGGTGCAGCGGCTGGGCAGCCACGTTGCAGGCCTCCTGGGGGCGGTGGCCTGGGCCTGCACACAGGTGAGGGGCCAGGCTGCAGCCTTCACCTTGCAGGAGGCTGGAGGAGACCATGGGGCCAGCAGGAGGGCTAGGCTGGGTGGCACAGCCCAAGCACTTGGCCCTCGGGTCTGAGGGACGCCTGCCCCTGTGGTTCTTCCTGACCTCATGCTGCACACTGGGGCCTGGGCCTCCTTCTCCTCTGCCAAATGGGAATAACTATGCCAGATCCAGTGCTGCTGGAAGGGGTAAGAACAAGGCACAGGACTAGTCAGGCACTCTGTAGAGTGGAGGAAGGCAGAGGTGGGGACAGACAGGGAGGGGGAGGCAGAAGGAGGGAGAGGGAGAGGGAGAGAAGGAGAGAGGGAGAGGGAGCGGGGTCATCCTGGGCGTCCTGGCCTGTCTGTGGCCAGCACTCCCTTTGGTTGGGCCCTGTGTCAGTCAGCAGGCAGGAGCTGATGTCTGGGCACTCTGGCCCCCGGCCCCGCCTCCTCAGATACCCCTGGGCGCCTGTGGCCAGTGTGACAGCTGGTGGTCATGTGCTCAGGTGGCCCAGAAGTGACTGCAGTTCCAGGCATGCCCTGGCCCTGCAGGGCCCTGCCCCACCCAGCTCTGCCTGCAAGGTCACCCTGAGTGGCAGCATCGTCCCCAGGCTGGGAGCTGGGAACACACACAACCCAGCCATGGGATCCTTTGCCTCCTGCCCTGGGCCAAGAGTCATAGGGTTCTGTGACGCCCCACCCCTGCTCCGCCATCAGGGCCCGGCAGGGACACCCAGTTGCCCTTGTGTGGGGGCCGACAGCCTGCCACTATTTTCCTGCTGCCGCCTGAGGGGTCCCCTGGTTCCTGGGGCCTCAGGTGGATGAGATGGCTTCCCCAGTGTCCTCCCCTCACCTTGGGCTACCTCATGACCGTCCTAAGGCCACAGTGACAGGCCACAGCTGTTAACAGCCTAACCCTTGTGATCCCCAGAAAGCATCCTAAACAAGAGATCAGCAAGGGCCCACTGTTATCACCCCAAGGTCCCCAGACCCGAGTGGGGTATAACCAGCATAGAGGGGCTGGGCCTTTTGGAGACTCAGAGCAGCCGTGGCCTCCAGTCTCCACGTCAGTGTTTCCACAGTGGAGCAGCAGCCGTCAGGCCGCTGCCGTGACCCCTGCAGCTGTGACAGGAGGATCCATTTGGCCAGTCACAGATGATGCCGTGGCAGAGTTGACCTTGGTCCCATCTCAGACTTGAGAAATGGACCAAGCTCCACTCACACCAAGCACATGCTTGCTGTCACAGAGCTCCCCTCACACTGTCCAGCCCCTGGATCCCCTGACTCCCATGCTGCAGCTCAGACCAGCCCAAATACACCCTCACTGGTCCTGGAAATCTCAGGATTCTTATCCCAGATCATGTGGGCACAGCGGGCAATCATGAGGGACTGGCAGAGGCCATTGTGTCAGCCCGCAGACTAGCAGCAACCCGTGGAAGCCAGAGATGCAGCAGCCAGAGACTTGTGGAGAGCCCCACAGACACAGCAAGAGCTGCTAAAGAGTCCCGACTGCTGCCAAGGGGTGACAAGCCTCAGCTACTAAGGAGTGGTAATGCTAAGAGCTGGGAGATACACCTAGAGCCTGGAGCCACAAAGGGAGCTGACCCATGGCAATGTGAGATTCCATTCTAATTGAGCAAGAGAACCCTGAGCTGATTGGGCAGTGTCATGGTCTGTGTCTAGGTGTTCCCCGAAGCCTCATGGGTCCAAGGCTATTTTGGAGGTGGCGAGTCTGGAGCGTGTGATTGATTCCTGGTGGGGCCAGGCCCAAGGGCACTAGGATGAAGGGCGTGAGTGCCACCCGCCCTAGGTAGTGTCAGTAAGATAGAAGGAGCAGGGAGATCCTGTTAGGGTCCCTTGTTGCTTTTTCTGTCTTCCGCCTTGAACTGTTGCCCCTCTGCCACCCTGCCCTGGAGCCAGCCGATTGTGGACTGAACCCTCTACGAACTGTGAGCCAGATAAACCTTTCACCCTTCACTTTGGGTGTCGAGTATTTTGTCTCAGCAATAAGAGAAAAGTAACACAGGCAGCAACTGGGGACAAGGTCCAGGACATAGGGCTCACTTTCAAATGAGTGGTATGAGTGGCATGTGGGGGAAGGGCAAGTGTGTGGGATGAGGTATCTGGTGTGTGAATTGAAGGGATGGCTTGTGAGGTGGCTAGTGTGTAAGGTGAGCTGATCAGAAGGGTTTTTAAAATCTACATTGTGGAGTCCGTTGGATCACGTGGATCCCTTGGAGTGTGTGGAACCCTTGCTGCTGAGTAGCTGTCTTAACTCATCACATCTGGTAGCTGAGTAACATTTATGGAGCATTACTGTCATCCAAGAAAGTCTATCATTTATACCTCCAGACAATTCTGTGACGTACACATCGATGGCATCATCATCATCACCATCACCGTTACCATGACAACAACATCATCACCCCCACCCACCATCTTCACCAGCACCACCACCACCACCACCAGCATCAGCACCACCAGCATCAGCACCACCAGCATGAGAAACATCACTGCCACCAGCCCTAAGCTGTGGTGCCGAGTTTCAACACAGTTTTGTCTCCTTTCCAAGCCATGTTGCAAGAAGAGGAAATGAGCCAGCACTGCACTTGGCAAGAGCAGGTGGGCAGAAGGCCAAGCCTCAAGTAGTGGTTGGTTGTATTTGTTCTGGCTTGGGTAGCAACAGCAACGACATGAGAAGGGGCAAATGATATTTACTCTGCCTGCACCAGAATCTCAGGAAAGGATAGGGCTCCAGTGCAGCCTCTGCCCCAGGACCTGAGTGGTCCTGCCCAGCAACCATGAGCTCCAAAGCTGGCTGGACCCATGTCTTTCTACAAAGGGATCCAGCTACACCTGTGTCCAGGTCCCTGAGATTGCTGGGACCCTGGACATGCTCAGCAGCGGGACTGGCCCTTGAGGGTAGGTGCTGGCATGGTGTTGGATGAACTGTCATGGGATGGAGTGTGTGTGTGAGCCTTGGGGGGCATCTGGACTGACCTTTAGGGAGGCGATTTACTCTTTGTGGTCCTAAAGGGCCTCTGTCTATCAAGGTGTCCCCAGGATAGGGCTAATGCTGTTCTCCCTCTTCTCACTCATGTGGTGAGTTTGCACCATGGGCCTCTTGTGTGTGGGCCCTGTTCTGGGCACTGACAATCGGAAGTGACCAACAGACCCGGGCCTACCCCGAGGGGCTTCCCATGGGAGGCAGTCTGGAAAGGGAGGGCTGTCATTCCATCTTAACGGTGCCCAACCGGAAAGGCCTCCTGCCAGGGAATTCAAGGCCGGCCCTGGAGCCTGTGGGGTGAGACTGGGCTCAGTGTGGCTGGTCCAGGCTGCCCGGGGCCTCGTGGGCCTCTGTGCTGGGAACCACAGGGGCCCGGGTCAAAGTGCTCACTGACACCTTGCAGTGGGAAGAAAGGGCCCCTGGGGCAGCAGAAACTCTGACTGCCTGGAACCTCCTGCGTGGTGCCCTTCACAGGCTGCGGGGCCAGCTCTCCTGCCACACTTGAGAACAGATGGAAACATACAGGGAATCTGCGGGAAGGTTTCCGTGCGCGCCACACCTCCTTGGCCTGGGCCGTCTGCTCCCCAGGTCTGTTTGGTCATCCAGGGCCTCCCACCCAATGGCTGCATCATGCTGTCTCTGACCCGGGCAGCACTGCCTCTCTTCTTCCACAGATAGCGCAGAATGAAGGCTTGGGGCCCGCCCCTGCCCTGAGAGATTGGATGGCAACTCTAGCACGGTCAGGTCCACAAAGTCCCTTTTCCCATGAGGCCCCGTTTGTACGCTCCTGGCGGAAGTGAGTGGGGAGCATGAGCCAAGCCCCCAGTCCACCGATCTTGTTTTGAACACATCTCAGGGTAAATCGCTGACTTTAGCATCTCTGCTCTCGATTCATTAACTGGTGTCCAGTATTTTTTCACAAGTTTTTCTCCAGAGATAAAATGTAGATGCAATTAAATTCACATATCTTAAGCATAGTTTTGCCAGTGCACACACACATGTGCCTGAACACCTATCAGGATGAGACCGTGCCCTCCACTCCTAAAAGCTCCATATGCCTTGCCCCACCTCACAGAGGCAGCGCTGCTCTTGTTTTTCCCGTTTTTGCCAGCTTGAGAAGGTCGTAGACTGGGACCCTACAGCGTGCTGTCTTGGGTCGAGTTCCTCTCACTGGGCACCTTTGGGCGCCGGGGTGTGGTTGTAGATTCTGTCTGTCGCGTGAAGAGACTGTGGTTGGTGTAGCCATTGGGCTTTGATGGACTCCTGGCTGTGTCTAGGTTCTGTTGGTCTTGAACAAAGCTGCTGGTTGCATTGTTGGTGGTGGCTCAGTTCCATCTCTGCTGTTCCCCTGTGGGCATCCCAGGGAGCCCTAGGGTGGCCATGTTCTGACAGGGCAGGGTGACAGGAACAGGAAGGCAGAGTGGCACCCTCCTCCTTTGGGCTGACGCTGACCAGGTAGAATGGATGGCGGCGGGAGCAGAGGGAAGTGGTGCAGTGGTTAGCGTTCTGGAAGCTGAAGAAGCTGGGCATCTGGCACTGTTTGGAGGATGTGGAGGGGCTTGGAAGGTATCCATGGGGAAGCACTTGGGAGCTGACAGCAGGGGGCAGAGACCACTCTAGGGACACCCCACTCAGATGGCCATCTGAGGAGGGTCCCACAGGCCTTGTCACTCCCACAGTGGGGCCGCCACCTCCAAGCCTGCCTCCACAACACTGGCCCTCAGTGGCCCACTCCCGACAGCCTGGAACACCCCAGCCTGCAGGTGGGCCTATGTGCAGGCAAAACCAAGCAGACAGAGGCCAGTTCCAACCTGTCTCTTGGACAGAACAGTGGACATCGTTTCCTTAAAGCAGGATTGGGCTGTCTGGCCTCCTGAGGGAGGGGGGCTGGCCGTGTGCAAAGGGTCTTCTTGGGTCCTGCTCCAGGCTGGGCTGACTGAGGGCTGGAGGAGAGGTTGCAGGAGATGCTGCCCAGGCCAGTGTGAGACTCACCTGCATCCCAGCAAGCCATGGCCAGGAGTCTTTGGGGCTGATAGCTCTCATGCCCTCTCCTGCCTGAGGAAGTCCTGGTGTGGCTGAGCGGTCTCTGAGTGTGGATGCCCTGTTGGAATCAGAGCCCTTTCCTTCCAGTGTGGACTGTGCATGCTGCCACAGAGGATCAAGGTGACACCAGCTTCCATCATCCAGCATGGGAGCCCAGGGACACACGTGTCCTTCTGCCCAGCTGGCCTGCAGCTGTTCCCTGCGCCCTGGGCCCTGACACTCACCCAGGCCCTGTCACTCTGCCACCAAGCCCGGCTGTGCCTTTGCTCTGCCAATTTGGCAAGGGCAGCCCTTAGGCCCTCGGACAGATGCAGAACATTAGCCAGCAGGTGGGAGGCTTCCTGCACCCCTTCCCTCATCTGTGGTCCCTGTTCTGTCAGGGGACAGGCCAGGATGGACCTGGAGAAGGAGGTTGGCTGGCTGGGGCGGGAGAGGGCCCGGTAGGCCCTGCCAGCAGCTGCCTGCCTGCAGCCTCCCCTGGGCCTGAGGTTAATTGAAGCAGAGCCCGGAGCAGTCAGCCAGCCTGGGCGGCCACAGAGCGCCCTGGCTGCAATAAATCCTCTCGTTTGATGGTAACAAGGCCCTGAAGGCTCTGCCTGCTCAGCTCAGCCCCACAAATTGCAGGTGTAAATTTCCTGGCTTCTCATAGGGATTCCAAAATTCAATTAAATCAGCATCTTTCTGCTGCTGGGCCCGGAGAGGCTGGTCCTGGGTGGGCAGGGGGTCAGAGCCTGGCTTTCAGGGCCTGCGAGGGGCAGAGCTTAGGGAGACTGCAGAGGGATTGGGGAGGCCTTGCGTCCCTCCCACATGCCTGGCCGTGTGCCAGGACCTGCTGTGGCTGTGCAGGATGCATCCCCAGATGCTCAGAGCCACCCTTGCAATTCCCAATCTAGTGGGAAGACAAGAGCTCGGTGCCAGGGCCCGGAGGAGTTACAGGCCTCCTGGGACCAGGAGGGCCCCGGAGGGTGATGTTGGGAGAGGAGGAGGCTGGGAACTCAGGGTCAGTGGGGGCCACACAAAAGAGGTGACCGCACAGCCCAGCCGCGGGCTGTTGACTAAATAGATGCAGACTGCACACAACTTCAGGATGCTCACTTGGTCCTTTAAACTGGCAAGGCCTTGGCAGATGACAATGGTCAGAGGGAGGTGGGGGGGAGCCCTGGGTGCAGGCCTGGTGGCCCCTCCAGCTCCGTGGGGCCAGGTACTCGGGCTGGGAGACAAGCAGACCAGGGGTGCTGGAGCCCCTGCCTGGGAGGCTGGTGAACGGGTCTGCTCACCATTGGATCCGGCCCCAGGGACCAGAGGGAGGACCTGTTCCTCAGCACAGGCTCCTGAGCCTCCTTGGCCCCGTCACTTGGGGGCTATGGGCAGGCTGTCCCCAGAGGCAGTCTGCACCTGCAGCAAATGAAAAGGCCCTGTGGCCACCCTCTGAGTAACTTAGGGACACAGGGAGTACCCTCATGTGCCTGGGCCCAGATAGACCTCTCCCACAGGATCGGGGCCATGGAGGCCCTCGCCAGGTGGTCAGGGGCACAGGGCAGATGGTGACTGGAAACAAGAAGCTCCCTAAGGTCTCGCCGTGGGGGCTCTGGCCCTGCCTGGCGCGTGATTTTGGAGGTGCTCTGCAGGTGGTGACTGCAGCTGATCACACTGTATCTGCTGTTAGGCTGACCAAGAACGGGAGTGCTCAAGGTGCTGGGGCTTCCGGACCCGCTGGACATGGGAGACATGAACGGCGACACCTGCGCTGAGCTGCCAGCAGTTCTAGGACCGCAGGCCTGGGCCATGGCCGACCTCAGCTTCTGCTCCATGGCTGTGCAGCATGGCAGCACCAGTGGCAGGTCCTTGCGGCCCTCATCCTGTGTCTCACACCGGCGACCTCCTCTGATTCATGCCTGTCCTCTGTCCTGGGCAGAGGTGGGAAGGGACAGCAGAGCATGGGCAGGCTGTGTGGCCTGTGCTCCTGCCCTCTGATGCCCTCGGTGCTGCCTGCCCGGCAGGATCCTGGGACCTGGCTGCCCTCTGAGAGCTTTCTGAGTTGTTGTCCTGGACTTACTGGGGAGCCCCCTAGCCGTTCCTGGCAGGGGGGAGGCCAGGGAGGCCAGAGTCTCCTCTCCTACCAGGCCAAAGGACTGCAAGGACAGCCACTGCCCTCCTGCTCAGCTCCCGTGCTGGGGCCTCTGGGGGCACCAGGATGCTGCAGGCTCTGTCCCTCCCTCAGGCCCTAGGCAGAGGGGACAGAGTCCTCCCCCGCTATCCCTGGTTTGGAAAACAGAAACCAGCTGCCCTCCTCACAGGACGGGAGCCCTGCCAGCCACCTGCTGGCCTAGAAGAGGAAGGGTGACGGGGATGGCCCCGTGTGGGGATGGCAGCCAGTGGGGCCCCGGCTGGTGGGTCCCCCGTGGTGCTGAGAGGAGCAGAGACAAGCCCGACTTTTGCCTCCAACCTGCCCTCCCCAGCTTCTCTGGGTCTCTCCGCGGGGACCCAGCCCTGCCTCACTGGGGCTCCTCTGTCCTTGGGTTGCTTGTTGCTGGGGACCTGGCAAGGCTGAGGTCGGGTATCTTGAGGGCCCCCCTCTGACCTGTGTCAGCGGCTGGCGTGATTTTTCTGAGTCGAGGTGCCTGGCTCGGACCTCCAGGCCTGGAGCTGTCTCAGGAGGGAGTCAGTGAAGGATGAAGAGGAGAGGGAGAGGAGAGAGGCCGTGGCCAGGGAGGAGCTGGAGAAGGAGCCGACATGGAAGTGGCTGGAGGTGGATGAGCTGCTGGGGACTCGGTGGCTCAAGAGGTCCCGGTTCACCCTGCCTTGCACCATGGATCTGCCCTGGGCTGTGCCGTCAGGGCCCTCAGGCCCTCACTGCAGAAGGCCAGGTTGGGGTCATCACTGACACAGTGGCCCCAGAGTCTGTCCCTCTTTGCTGGGGTGGCTGAAGCTGACTTCGTGCGGCCGTCGCTGTGGGCTGGGTCTTCTCTTTGCCTCTTGATGGTGGCTCTCGCTCCAGCAGGGTAGTCACAAGGAGATGCCTGCTGGGTGCCGCCCCCCATTCCTCCCTGTCCCTGGGCTGTGCTGGCTCCCTCACAGCCACCACCTCGGAGGAGGAGGACCCATTTCATCTCCCCTTCGGGTCTGAAGGGAAGAACAGTTGTGTCCCTGGGACAGGAGATGGCCCTTTGTCATCCTCCCTGCCAGCAGTTTCCTGCTTGCATCATCCCTCCACTTGTGTCTCCACTGCCCATAAATCCCCGATGGAGGGCAGGGCCGGGTGAGCGATGGCTGCTGTCAGGAAGGAGCTGATTTCTCCCTGGGGGAAACTGGCGCCTCGCCCACCTCTGCCTTCCCCGATGCCGGGCTGCTGTCCAGGCCTGGCCTCCCATCCTCCGCTCATGGGGCCGCATCTGGTGCACGGAGCTTCGCGGGGGACTCCCTGTCCTCCGCCCTCCCAGATGTGTCCCTCAGTGGCGGGTGCCCTGAGTGGGGCATTGGACCAAGCTCTGCTGGGGAGAGGCCAGAGTGCTCTTCCCCTTTTGGCCTCCCCCTCCCCCTCCAGGTTTTCGTACAAACTTCACTCTTTGGGAGCCCACAGGGTGGGGGATTCTGGGAGCCGTGGACTCTAGGCCAACTGGCCAAGGACTGCGAGCTGGCGCCCTTGGCCCGGAAGCATCAGGAACAGGCAGGTCCCCACCTGTGGGGCCAACACATCTCAGGGAATCTGTTCTATCCACCTGGGCCTCTCCTCTTCCATCCTGAGGCCCAGGGCCTCCACTGCCCCAGGCCCAAGTGAGATGAATCGGACATGCAAACAGACATCACATGGTGACAGGGGCCTCAGGACCCAGTGGGTTGTCACTGAAGGGCATCCCTGCCACCATGTGAGTCTGTCTACTTAGCCGCTGGGGGCCTCAGGGAGGGTCAGCACTGCACGTTGGCCCGTTCATTGCCTAAGGAGTGTATGTCACAAGCTGGTGATAGGAGTTTTAGGAGCCCTAAATTGCCTAGCCCCCCTCAGCCCCCTTCAAATTAAGGACACTGAGATAAAAGTCACTATGCCATCACCAGGGTTTGCAGGGACGTTCAGCGGCTGGCTGTAATTTTACAGCACCCTGCCGAGACTCCTAGGGGTCGCCTAGAAGTCTCCAGCATTGTCCTAAACCTAGGGTTACCTCAGATTCCAGGGAAAGCAGAGGCTCAGAACAGATCACCCCATGATGATGCTGGACCTGGTCCTCTGAGTGACAGGAGCAGCTGTCTCCTGGGAACTGGGTCAGCCGGAAGCCACACAGGCTTCTCAGAGGGCAGCCACCTTGCAGAACCCGTCCTGAGATATGATCAGCCATCCCCAGCTCAGCCAGGAGGACCGAGGCTGCCAGCCATGCAAGCACAATCTTTGCCTTTGCTCCTCATTCCTGTAAAACCTCAGAGCTTCTGTTGCCCCTGCACCTTGAATCTCTCTGTCCTTCTCCTCAGCATGGATGCCCTGACTGAAGCTCCTTTCTGCCCTTCCCTGACTGTTTGAGGACGAGTGGCCAAGCCCGGTCTGTTGGGACTCCCAGAACCAAGGCTTTTGCCTCGAAATCCTGTATCAGTGTGATTCCTCTTACACGATATGTCCAGATCAGCACATCTTAGGGACAGCAGGTGGAGTCCAGGTTTCCAGGGGGCGTGGGGAGGGGTTGCTGCTTAATGGTTTCTGGGTTTCTGTCTGAGATGCCAACAGTTGCGGGACTGGAGGCGGGGTGATTGTGCAACTCTGTGAACACAATTGGTGCACTTAAAAATGATTGAAGGGTGAATATTGTGCTAGTTGTTGCTGTGGTTAAAATGCAAAGTGTCCCCCAAGGCTCATGTGCTGCCGGCCGAACCCCAAGGCAGCTGGCTCAGAGGGGACTGGACGGCAGGGTGCTGACCTCGGCTGTGTGGGCTCCTGGCTGGGCACCTGTGAGGAGCTGGACCCAGGTGACAGAAGCAGGGAGATCTCTTCCTAGGCCTTCCCATCCCTTCTACCACGAAGCTTCTGCTGTGGTCTAGAACCAAAATAAACCTTTTCTCTTTGGGTTGTGTGTGAGGTATTTCGTCACAGTGATAGGAATATGACCAATACATACATACATGCATACATCTTCACAATAAAGAGGAATGCTTTCTGGGGATGGAGCACATGCCTGCAATCCCAGCACTTTGGGAGGCTGAGACAGGAGGATTGCAAATTCAAGCCCCTCCTGGGTAGTTTAGCAAGATGCTGCCTCAGAATAAAAGATACATACATACGTACGTACATATAGAAAGAAAGGCCTGGAGATGTAGCTCAGTGCAAAGGCTCTGAGTTCAGCCCCAGCCAAAAAAAGGAATACTTCTGGTGGACTAAACTCTCCAATATGTAAAGTGAAACTACAGGGGCGAATTTTTTTTTGCAGTGCTAGAGTTTGAACCCAGGACCTTGTGCATGCAGGTAAGTGCTCTACCACTGAACTATACTCTAGCCACTTTTATTTTATTTATTTTTAAATTTGATACAGGTCTCCCTATGTAGCCCAAGCTGGCCTCAAGCTTGTGATCCTCCTGCCTCAGCCTCCGAGTACCTGGGATTACAGGTGTGCACCACCACGCCTGGCTTGGAAGAAACTCTTACTGAGCCTCCATGTGGCACGCGAAGCTCTAAGCTGGAAACACGCAGCCAGGGGCTTAGCTGCTCCTGCTGCTGAGCTACTGAACTAGAGGCCGGGTCAGATGCAGCCACCCCTGCTTTGCTGTCTTCAGGTGATTCCGGGTGCAGGTGTGAAAGTCCTGTGTCACCGCGTGGAGAACACCCGCCTGGCAGCCCTTCTGCCCCAGGCGTCACGTCCCACGCCCCACGCCCCAGCCGTGGGAGAACCGTGCACCAGCCCTCGGGTGACATGGACCAGAGAGAGCTGCAGCCACACGTGCGCACTCCCTTTCTCCTCCTGTGTGACGCAGGGCTGGGCCCGGAGGAGGAGAAGGACGCAGGGTTTGTGGGACAGGGCGTGAGGACCGGAGGAGGGCCCGCCCACCACACCTGTGATTGTGAGGCCGAGCCCCAGTCCCACCAGAGCCAACGTAAAGACAGCCCGGCTGCTCACTTCCCTGGGCCCCCTTCCTCCCCCTGGGAGAAAAGTGAGACCCAATGAGGACTTCCAGGCTGAAAGGGGACTGAGGGCCACACATGGGCTAGTCCTGTGTGGCCAGGGCAGCCAGCGCCAAGGTTCCAGCCACTGGGCTGTGGAGCTGCTGGGCTGTTGTCATGGAGACGGCTGGGCTGCTGCTGCTGGGAAAGGAAGCAATTAGCCCAGAAGGAGGGCGGCTGTGGGGCCCAGGCCTGCTGCACCCACCCCTCAGCTCAGCCCCTCCTGGCTCCGGACCTGCAGCCGGGTCTGTCTTTACCTTGGCTCTGGTGGGACCGGGGCTCGGCCTCACCATCACAAGTGTGGTGGGTGGGCTGGGGGTCCTTGGGCCCTGGAGGCAGGGGATCCACTGCCAGGCGGGGGTTTCGGTCACACAGGCATGTCAGAGGGACGTGTGTCCTCGTGTGTGGCACCCCTGCTCCCGGTGCTGCTTTCTTTCTGCGGAAGTCCTGATGGCCCCGTTCCTCCCAGGCCCCCACGGGTCCGTTCCTGACCTGGTTTTGGATGGAATATGACTCAGCCCTCAGCAGGACGCCAACCAGAAGTGCTCCGTTCTCTGCAGGCACAAGACACAGGAAAGAGTCACTGCCTGTTGGGAATGCTCTGAGTGTTTAGGAGAAGAGAACTGACTTCAGGGCCCAGAATAAATATCCTCCTGAAGAGGACTGCAGGAACAGGAGAGCACTCCGGAGATCTCTATCTTGGGTTCTAACAAGGACCAAGTGGGAGATGGCGGCAGTTGTTGGAGATGGAAACTGTGTTTGCCCAAAGCTGTGTGCTGCGGAGGAGCGGTGGGTTGGAAGCTGCTGAGGACCAGGGCGGTGAAGCGAGGACCAGCCTGAGGGACTCGGGGAGGGAAGCTCGAGAGAAAGAGGAGATTGCAGTGAGCTGAAGGTAAAGCCAAGGAGATTACCGAAAGCCGGCATGGGGGCTGCCTCGCCTCCCGCTGGGTCCAGGTCCCGGCAGCCTGTCCCGCCACCCTCCCCGGCCCTGCAGTGCCCTCCTCTCTCCCAGGCTGGAGGCCTGGTCCCTGCTCCCTCTCCACCCCTTGGACTCCACTTCCTCTTCCACACAGAGATGTCCTCTGCTCCACCAGGCCTCTTCTGCGCCTTGGTCCCTCAGGCCGATCCCCACACCCACTGACCCAGTGCCCACTGAGCTACCCCTGGTCCCAGCCTCACTCCCTCCGTCCCAGAGACCCCTGCCACAGCCACAGCCCAGGCTCTGGCTGCGATGCAGCTTGTTCCTCCTCCTCAGTCTGCTGCATGGCTGCGTGACACCAGCCTCCACCACTTTCTTCCTCTCTCAGCCTGGCCCTTTTGCCACCTGTCATACACGGCCCTGTGGTGTCCCAAGTGGGTGGGTAGCTGGAGGACTTCTGTGGTCAAGGATGTCCCTCTCCATGCCGTGCGCACGCTCCTTCACAAGGCAGTCACAGCGACCTGTTGCATTCCAAAGACCCATGCCTGAAGTTCAGTGCTCCGGGCCACTGTCACCACCGACCTCTGTCAGCTCTCTGTAAGCTGCCCCCACCTACACCCCGAGGTGGCAGAGCCCAGCTGCTGGCAGAGCCCCTGCCTGCCCCACCCAGCCGCAGCACGGTGCTGCCGAGCCTCCTCCTCGGGCTCCGCCTGGCCCTCTGCTCCAGGTGGCCCTGTGTGTGTCTCCTCTGGGACCACGGGCGACAAACTGTCTCCCCAGTACCCATCGTCTCCCCGTCATGGGCCTTGGTACTTCGAGCTGCATTTCCACACTGCTGGCCCTGATGTCCCCTCGTGGCTCAAGCTTGGCGAACCCTCCCTTGCTCCAGCCCGGCCGCTCCTCCCGCAGCGGGGACAGCTGGGCTGAGCCATGGGTGCAGGTCACAGAATTGTGGCCCCACGTCCTACTCTGGCTAACATTGTGGACAAGTGAATAGTAAAAGTTGCTGATAATTTGAAGTTTTTATTTCAGTTGAATGACATTAATTAGCAAGTGAACACAAGCCAGGAGTGGAGGGGCCGTGGGAGGAGACAGCTCTGTGTCCACCCACGGCCCTGCCTGTGCTGTAACCAAGAGCCCCACGGGTCCACTCCCCGCCCGGCTGGGGGCCGCACCTCTGCACGTGATGTGTCCACATGTGTCCTGCCCAGCTCTAGGTGCTCCCAGGCTTCGGCAGGTGCTCAGGTGTTGGTAGCAGGAAGGCTGACATTGGCATCTCTGGTGGTGGCTGGGCAGTGTTGCTGTGCCTATCAAACCGGGTGCCTTGGGGACCTTCAGTGTGGTGGTGAGGGGTGGTGGCACCTGTGCTGTGGCACCTGAGCCCCAACCCCGACGAGTTTCCCACCCACACTTGGAGGGCAGCTTCTCAGGAAGGGGCCAAGGAAGTGCCCTAGACCCAGGCCAGGCTCCAGAGCTCCAGTACCCGACTCCTTCCAGAGCTTAGTGCCAAACCAGTGAGCCTCGGGCTGCACTGCCCACTGCCCTGGTCCTGTGGCCCTCACACGAAGTCTGCTTTCATGTATTTCCTGTAGTCCCTGCTGGTCTCCCGCTCCCCTTGAATGCAGGGTTCCTGAGTGGCTGCCAGGCCTGGAGGGCTGCTGAGGGAGGTGCACTTTGGACAAGACTGGCTCTGCACCCGAGGCTCATGCTGCCCAGCAGCTGCACACGAGGCAGGGCAGGCCGCACGGCCACCGCAGGACCGACCCTGCTGGCTGCAGTGTGAGGGTGGGAACACCCCACAGGAGGCTGCACTGCTGAGTGGGGTGAGTGACCTCCCCAGGGTGGAGGGTGGCTCAGATGCTCAGACTGGAGAAAGAGCTCCGAGGAGGCAGGCTGGCCCTGGAGGGACCCCGAGGCTGGGCCCCAGGGACCCCAGGGACCCCAGGCTGTGGCGGGATGGGTGCTGCTCAGGCCCACTTGAAGCGCCACAGGCCTCTGCCTTCCTCTCCTCTGCCCTTGTTTCTCCTGCAGCCCTGGCTGTCCCCAGCCTGGATCTCTGGCTCCACTGCCCTGGCACGCTGCACAGGAGGCCAGGCTAGGTGTGGGGCTGTGCTGAGTGCGTGGCCTGGGCCACTCCACCCTCTTCTAGAGCCTGGGCCCTTCGTGGTGCATTTACTGTGGGTCCAACCAGCTGTAGCTGCATGTGCCCTGCCCTGAGGGCATCTGTCTGTCCATCCATCTGTCCGTCCACCTGTTCATCACCTGTCTGTCCCTCCTCCTGCCCCTCCCAGAATCAGGAGATCCAGGAGGACCCGGGATGGGGTGGCCAGGCAGGAACACTGGGGAGGGGGACTTTGTCACCATGGACGAGCAGATGCTGACAGGCAAAAGAGGTCATTTGCTAAATAAATGAAATTTTAGGAAGGACAGGTTACAAAAGGCATTCTGCAAAGCCCTTGAAATGCCATTGCAGTGGGGAGGGCTGAGCACGCCCTTCCCTGGCTTGGTCCCTGGGGTGGGGGGCAGGCTCCACCCCATCAGGGCGGCGTGGGAGAACCTTGGCCAGTGCTTCAACATGTCACCGTGTCACATGGCCACTCACTCCCTGGATGCCCGAGCCAGAGAGACCCTGGGACACACAGGGTGGCAGGAGCCTAAGAGCATCGGCCAGTATCTCAGGAGAGGGTGCTCCTGAGGACGGCAAGGTGCTGAGGAAGCAGCAGCCAAGGCTGGTCCTTGCAATGAGTGGCCAGGCGCCCAGCTGGTGATGGCCTGTGGGGAACACCCTCGAGGCTGTCATGCCAGGTGTGTGTGTGTGTGTGTGTGTGTGTGTGTGTGTGTGTGTCACAGCTGCAGCAGACACCAGGGAGGCCCTGCAGCCTGACTGATGATGACAACAGTGTCCAGGGCTTCATCTGTGGCATCATAGGACATAGGAGTCTTGCTGTTAGGTTGATGATGCCCTGCAGATGAGCATCCCCCTGAGCAGCAACCAGCTAGGCAGGAGAGCAGCAGGCAGAAGCCAGACCCACGCCCTTCACATGCACACCACATGCACATACACGTGTGCTCATGGACACACAGCTCCGCACACGTGTACTGCATGCAGATACACACAGACACTTGTGCCCACCAGTCCGGATGCACAGAGGAGTGAGCTATGTGCGCACATGGAACCATGGACACCATGTGCACATACACCCTCATTCCCAGGCCACACGTGGCTCACCCAGATGTGTGTGCACACAGACACAAATGTGTGAGCCTTGCACACACATAAGTGTCAGTCTCCTCACTCCATCTCTGCATGGAAGAGCAACCTGCTCTGTCTGGAGAGGCGAGGCTGGCAGGTGTCATGTGACTCAGGCTCAGCTGGTGGCCACTGGCCGGATTCCTGTGACCAGGAGGATGGAAGATGGCCTGGGACAGCTGTGGCTGTCACTCAGGCCCAATTGGCCACGGCTCCAGAATAAATGTCCAAGCCTCCCCTGATCTGGGGATCTAGGAAGTTTGGAGGCCATCGGCACCCACGGGGGCTCCACATCTCTCACGATCCCTGCAGAGCTGGGGACAAGCTAGCCTCGACACTCAGCTCCCACTGATGGCTCCGTGCTGCTGCCCAGGTGCCATCTGCTGTTGCTTGGAGTCTCTGAGGGCTATGAACCCCCCACCCAGCCCAGCTGTCCCACCTGTTGCCCCAGACCTGGACCCAGCCCCCGGCCAGACAGACATGGGCCTGCTGGACATGGCCTCCCTCGCTGTTTTCCTTTTAAAAACTCAAGACCCTTCTTTTTAACCCGACAACCTGACCCCAGATCAATTCTCATTAAACACTGAAATGCAGAGAAAGCAGAGCCCCCCTCAAACCCACACTCCCTCCCCGAAAGGCTGGAGAACCTAACTTCCAGATGGCTGGGAGCCATGGGCTGTGGGTGCTCAGGTCCCTCAGACAATCGTCATGGGGCACCTGGGACCGTAGTTCGGGTCCAGCCTGGGGACATTTGGCATCTGTGCAGTCACCCCGGGCTGCTGGGACAGACATTTACCTCTCTGAGCTCTGAGGACCCAGAGAGACAGGGACAGAGAGAGGGGGAGAGAGAGACAGAGGAGACAGAGAGAGACAGAGAGAGACAGAGATGAGAGAGACAGAGTCAGAGAGAGAGGCAGAGAAAGAGATGAGAGACAGAGAGACAGAGAGAGACAGAGAGACAGAGACAGAGACAGAGACAGAGAGACAGAGTCAGAGAGAGAGGCAGAGAAAGAGATGAGAGACAGAGACACAGACGAGAGAGACAGAAAGAGACAGAGACAGAGAGACAGAGAAAGACAGAGACAAAGACAGAGACAGAGAGACAGAGATAGAGAGATAGAGACAGAGAAATAGAGAGAGACACACAGAGACAGAGAAAGACAGAGACAAAGAGAGAGACAGAGAGACACAGGGAGACAGAGAGAGACAGAGACACAGAGAGACAGAGACAGAGACACAGAGATAGAGAGACACAGAGAAACAGAGAGACGGAGACAGAGAGACAGCGAGAGACAGAGACAGAGCCTGGGCAGAGCCCCGCCCTCCTCAAGACCCCCTGACCTTGTGGCCCTGCAGGCCCAGCTCCCACAGACCCAGGGGTTCGGGGTTCAGTCCCAAGCCTGGCCAGGAGCGCGCAGTGGCCATGGTGTCCCCCTTTCTGTCCCCCAGCAGGACAGCCCTGCACCCCATCCCACCCTCATCGTGTGCCCTGCCCAGGCGGCCCCATTCCAGACCCTGGCCAGTGGCAGTGCGTGCTGGAGCCCCAGGTGCTTCCACCTCACTGATGTGGCACCGCATGGCCCACAGCGGCCCGGGCAGGCTGAGGGACCGGGAGCCGCCCCTGGGAACAGACAGTGGTGCCAGGAGCTCAAGGATGAACAGCCGGTTGGCGAGTGGCCAGGCTTGGGCTCGCCTGTTACTCAGCAGAACTTGGGCGGGTTCAGGACCGCAGAACCAGAGCCCAGGACAGCACCACTTCAGCAGTCGCAGGGATGACAGCCTCACGGTGTTGCTGGGGGAGATGGAGGGGAATCCAGGGACCAGAAAGGCTCCGAGTGTGTGGTGGGAATGCTTACTGGGTCTACACTGCAGCAGCTGGACGCAGAGCACATCTGGCCAGATGTTGGGAGGGTCAGGTGCAGCATCGCTGTGCATGTAGCCTGTCGAGCAAATGGGGAGGCAGAGGCGTGAGACCCCAAAGCAGGGAGACCGACTAGCATCGGACCAGAACTTCGCTCAGTCACGACACAGATGCGCCAAGTCGGGAGGGCGCGGGTCTCGTGTGAAGACCCGCACAGGCGTGGCACCATCCCTTGGACTTAGCTCAGGGAGGTGCCGGTCGCTGATGGTGGCCAGGGACCGGGATTCTTCAGACCTGGGTGGGAGGTGCAGTGCTGTGCTCCACTGACCAGAATCAGACCAGGAGGCCTCCAGGGCTCAGGAAGGTCGTGAGGACCGGGCAGGGCCAGAGCTACAACACGAACACAGGAGGCGAGTCCCCAGCCTCAATCCGAGTCACAGGGCCAAACAGCATCGCGGAAGATCAGGGTGATGTCGGGCCACAGCCAGGGCCTTAGAGGACAAGCGTGGGGATGCAGCTTCCTGCAGGAGCCAGATCTGGGCTTGAGCGGGGCGGGCTCCTTGCAGGACCTCCCTCGAGGGTCTGCTCTGCCCGCTTGCCGTCCTGTGTCTCCGCGTCCCCTGGGGCTGGGGCGGTCCTTGTTCCCTGCCCCCTGTACCCGAGAGTTGGAGGAGATCGCTGTCCTCGACCCACATGCACCACGACAGCAAGTGCGTGATGCCCACTCTTGAGTGCGCCCTGGTGGAGAGGCCCTGGGGCATCCCAGGATCCACTCGAGGCTGCCCAGGTTGGGGTCCTCCTGCTGGGGAGACAAGGGGCAGAGAGCAGTTAGCCCTGCAGGTCTCGACTTCGGGAGC